ATAAAAGATAAAAATGTTTTGATATCACTAATTTTAAAGCACCGAAATCAAGGTATGATATTTTTTCTGGTTTAGATACCGTATGTCCGATGCATGGTGAGTATTGTCTGACCCATGGTGAATTCTGACTTATTTCGAAAAAAAATCGGTTTTTAATGATATTTTCTCAATAAATAGCACACGATTATGCCAAAAAATTTTATTTTAACCACATACTACATGTAAAGTTCCATTTTGATAATATTCGCTCTATAGCGATATCGCTATAACTTGCTGAAATGCGAGGGTGTCCGATGCATGGTGAATTCACCATATTAAATTTCAAATTGAATTTGATAAATCCTTTCTGTTCTTTTTATGTTAACATGCATAATTTTTCCTGGATTGATATTATCGGTGTTTATGTAAAAATACAGCCCATGCTTTTTGTAGAAGGAAGGAAATATTTTCGAACATGAACATAGATAGGGAAGCGTGTAAATATACACATTTTTTTTCCTGGATTGATATTATCGGTATTCATGTAAAAAAATACAGACTATGCATTTTATAGAAGGAAGGAAATATCTTCGAACATAAACATGGATAGAGAAGCTTAAAATTCTCTACACATGTTTTGTTAAATTTGTGTACATTGTCTTATTTTTTATGTATTGTCTTATCAACAAATAATCTGTTATTACTTCTCATTTTCATTTATATGTTGTATTCTATCTGGGTATTTTCACGTAATTTAAAGCTTCTTTTCTGTATGATAGACTTTATTGTTAAAAGATATATCGAGTTAAAAGATATATCGAGTTAAAAAATATATCGAGTTAAAAGATATTGATTTAAAAAAATCGATTAAAGCATTAGAATGAAAGATAGCCGTAGTTAGCTTGACACACAACAACAAAAATATGTGCATAATAGTTAAACTAATGTAAATACGCTACCATAAAAAAGTTTAAAGGTTTGAAAATATTGTTTTCCAACTAATTAAATGGGCGTAGGAATTTTAATGAAACGTCAAATCACTCAGATTTATTGAGGAAAATGCACAATGTGCCATGTGTAAAGTGTCAAGTATTTGTTGTATGATTATAGAGAAAAACGTATTGAAGAAGAAGGGGTTTAGGGGCCATGATCAGTTAGATTGTTCCACTCGAAGTAATTATCAATTTACGTCATTCTAATTAATAAGAAATTAAATATATATATGCAAGTCTAGAAATATTTTTTTATGAATAAAATTCATCAAGCTCTCTTTGAAATAAAATTATGTGCTTACAAAGTATGCAGAATTACTAGGGATGTCAAAATATTTATTTTCCTTAGTCGATTATTCAATCTCATTATTCGAACAATAGTCCAATATTCAGAACATTTTCTGAAAGTAAAACTTTATTTCAAACGTCACTTATACATGAAATATGGAGATATCAAATAGTATTGAAGCTCTAATTCCATTAACGCAATACAAATCGGGAGCAGAGCAAACACAAACCTCCAAAAACAGAGGTGGGATCAGATGTCATGGAAGAGTGATAGGTACTTATTCTTTTAAATAAAGTGAAACGATTCCAATTTTTGAAACAAGAGGCCTAGGGGCCACATCGCTCACCTGAGCACTGTGGCTAGGAAAAAAGCAAAAATCAGTTTAGTATTGCAATGCTTAAATGTATAAGTGGTCTCGACCTACACCTAAAAGGGAGGGGGTAATGATTTGAACAAAATTGAATCTACACAAACTAAGAATGCATTCAAATTTTTTTTGACTAACTGTGACTTTTTTCCTAAAAGTTTAAACTTTCATTGTGGCCCCTACCTACCCCTGAGGGTCATGATTTGATCAAACTTAAATCTACACTATCTGATGATGGTTCCATATAAATATGACCAATAATGGCTTTGCTATTCTTGAGAAGAAGATTTTTTTCAAAGATTTCTCCAATATATTCCTATGTAAAACTTTGATCGTCCATTGTGGCCCCAACCTACCCCAGGGGTCATGACTTGATCAAATTTGAATCTAAACCACCTGAGGATGCTTCCTAATAAATATGACCAATCATAGCTTTGTTGTTCTTGAGAAGAGTTTTTGAATTTTTCTTATATACTCCTATGTAAAAATTTAATCGTATATTGTGGTCCTACCCTTCCCCCAGGGGTCATGATTTGAACAAATTCGAATCTACACCACCTGAGAATGCTTCCAAATAGATATGAACAATTATAGCTTTGCTGTTCTAAAGAGGATTTTTGAATATTTTCCCTATATATTCCTATGTAAAACTTTAATCGCCCTCTCTGACCCCACCCTACCCCCAGGGGTCATGATTTGACCAAACTTGAATCTACACTTTATGAGGATGCTTCCATATAAATATGACCAATCATGGCTTAGTTGTTCTTGAGAAGAAGGTTTTTAAAAATGCTCCTTATGTATTCTATGCAAAACAATGACCGCCCACTGTGGCCCCACCTTACCCCTGGGGGTCATTGTTTGAACGAACTTGAATCTACACTACCTGAGCATGCTTCCACATAAGCTTCATATTTTCTAACACAGTGGTTCTTGAGAAGATTTTTGAAAGATGCCATAATTTTTTCATGAATTCACAATTATCTCCATTTGGAAGAAGGCGTGACCCTTTATTTTAATACACTTGAATTCCCTTCACCCAAGGGTACTCTGTACCAACTTTGGTTGAAATTGGTCCAGTAGTTCTGGAGAAGAAGATGAAAATGTGAAAAGTTTACGACAACAACAACGAGGACGCCAATGACAACGACGACGACAGACAACAGACAAATTTTGATAAGAAAAGCTCACTAGAGCCTTTGGCTCAATGATATAAAAATATACAAAAAAAATGTGAATATGAAATTCGAAAATTACACTTACGTAAATCTTCAATATATATATTCATTTATTTATTTATTTCTAGGAGAGACTTTTTTCTCATCAATTTCTTTCTACGTTACTTTTGTCATTCATTTTCTTTTACAGTGACTTAAATTGTGTGTTTCATTTTTTAAAGAAAATCTTGCTTTAAACAAATCGACAAGGCAACAGTATCCCTATGGTGCCTTTGAATGGAAAACTAGATCTCATAATGCAGTGGACGGACTGTTTTCGGACAGGTCTCTTAATGGTGGACAATGTACTATATCGGGCAATCAAGAACAAACTGCAACCTTGTTGGTGAATTTAGGAAGAATTCTCAGCATACATCATATAACAATCTACTACAGGACGGAAAATTTAGCATGGGGTATCGTACTAATAGCCGCCATTTAAAAATTTAGTTCATAATCTTTTTTCAATGTTACAATGCTCGTAAATAAAAAAAATGCTTCTTTATATATTCATTTTGCCCCAAAATGAAGAATCAGATATGATAAATAATTTGTAACGAGGTAATTTTGCAGTAAATAGTTGTTAATGTCAGTAATTATTATACGTCAAAAAAAGCAAAATAATTTTTATTTTAATAAAAACCTAAAACCTTTATTTTAAACATTCATCTAAAAAAAATGCAAGATGTTATAATCCAAACATAGTTTGAATTTGTTGAACACCCCATCGACTGTGAATACTGAAAAAATAAAATACTTCCTTTGATTGTTAAGGTGTAAGCAGGTTATTTGTGTTTTTTTTTTCCCTGCACTGGTTGCAATCGCTATTACCCATAATAGCAGTCAAGGCTATATATATTTTTATCTTAATTTCTATAGGTATGTTAAACGATTAACATGTATCGGTTCTCATGAAAATAGAGAAAAGAAAAATTATTCAGTGGATGTACATTGTAAAAACGAATAACATAGTGATCGAGGTAATGCTCAATGAGTAATTAAATCTATATGTGCAGTACATGGCCAAATTTTGGATTCAGAACTACTGTAAAATCAAATTTTTTTCTTGGTGACAAGATTTTCTTTGTTTATGCCCTTTGAATGAACCCGCGAAATCATGTCGTCTATAAACTGTCTATAATTACAAATTACCGTATTTTTTTTTTTTTTTTTTTTTTTTTTTTTTTTTCCGCGTGTTGCGAATTTTGCGAGAAAAGGGTAGATTTCCACTGTTTTTATTTTGCGTGAGTAATTTTTTGCGATTTTCAAAAATTAATTAATAAAAGGGTAACGTTTTAGTGGCACACAATTACCGATATAATTTCTGCGTGTTTAATTTTTGCGAATTAAAAATGATCGCAAAAATTGCGAAAAATAGATCATCGCGAAAAAAAGAAGAAGCGGATATACGGTATAGTTCAGTAAACACGGATCTGGCGAAGTGATATGGACAGGCATTATTTGTTCATTATTTACATAAATCCTTTTATATCTGTTAGTTTGCTTTTAAACCACGGGCATGAAAATCGCTCCGCTGTAATTATATAAGTGTGAATTCATCATAATTTTACAGTATCATGTACGTTTACCTTCCACGAAATAAACTCCCCTAGAATCAGTATTTTCTTTTCAACAGACCTAGAAAATTTGACCCCATACAGAAAAATAATCGTAATAGTTGATGACTTTGCATATGCACTTTGAAAGATTCAATAGAAATATCAATTCTGAACAAATAGTTAGGATTTTTCATTCCTGAAAAAAATTTACCAGCGTTCTAAAAATTGATAGCTTTTAAAATTATTGATAGCATAAAAAAATGTTCATACCTGCTCGGACGAGTTCTTGAATTTTGACTCGAAATCATATCTTAAGAGACAAGGTCATTCAGCTTAAAAAAATATATGTCAAAAGTATGTATTTTAACACCATCGATGGCATTCTTTGAGAAGTAAAAGAGCGAAATGAGTCAATATTTTCTAAGGATATGAATTGCTACAAACTATGTTTAAGGTTAAGTGTAATAAATATCTGTTATCAATAATATTTGAATAATGTTTGAATATTTATGTTGGAATGATGTCAAAGACATAAAGGAAAGATTATTTAATTCTTCCAGCAAACAAAAGAAAAGTATAAAATAAACATTTGCTAATAATTTGTCGCAATGTGACGCATGTTGTTTGAAAGATATAGATCAAACTTTATAAGAGCATGTCCCTGCAAAGTGCTCATTTCAAACTGGCAAGACGGTGTTTCAACATTTTTTTGATTGAAGTCAATTCGTCATACTCACAAAATTATTATATTTCAAAACACCTTCCCTCTGCTAAAAATATAAACAGCAATGAAAGATGTATCAGGCATAATTAATTGTTTGGTTGATCTCACTAGACTTAACCAATATCTACAAAAGACGCTTTCTTGGTTTCTCGGTTTACATATTGAACGAAACCGACAAAGATGGCGGGATCTTATGTTTTAAGGACACAAACTACACCCAAGCTACCATACCAAACAATACTACAATAGAATGTGCAACCCATGGACAATACGTCATTTATTACAATGAAAGACTTCAAGGAGCGGAATATCCTGATGGATACTCGAAATACGCATACAGCGAACTTTGTGAAATTGAGGTTTATGGTAAGAGGACACAGCAATATATAAAAAAAGCTTTCTTTCTTTCAAATTAAACTACGCAACAATACTGTATCGTTAAAATTTAAATGCAATGTTGTGTAGTTCAATTTTTTTTATATATTGCTTGAACACTAAACATTGATTTATTGACAAAAAGCTTAAAGTTTATTGTCTTTTTTCCTGCAGTTGAAGAGTTTCAATACTCAAAGGAACTTTGTGCTACATTTTAATGTCTATATATAGTGTTGTACACTTCTTCTGAAACAAGTTTGGATAAATAAAACATCTAAAATATATGCTTAGTAATTTTTGTATATTTTCCTTTGAATTATACAAGAATTCTCATCAATTAATATCTTTTCAAAACCCCTGGTAATACATGCTGGGTTTTTTTGTCTTAGAACATCTGATGGCACAATAATCTAAAATCAAGAATGTCTTGAAAATTTTTCAGTAGGTAAGGTATGTTGCGTATGTCCATAAACATTACAAAATCATGAGTTGGATGGTATTTATAGTCTTCGTATATTGCATATCCATATTCATTTCTCTTAATAAAATGTTTTAGTTATCAAGAAATGGCATGTAAACCTATATATTCTAGGAATAATGAAGCCTTCTTCGATTTGCATTGGAGAGGGTTACAATTCCATAGGATCTCCCTCATGGTGCGAACAATTTTTTCTTCAGAATTGGTGAAATCAAGCTAAAAATGTATGCTTTTGTATTAGACATCCATTTAATAAAATGAAATGTATGTTCATGATCAACAAACAATACCTTTATATACTAACAGAGAGTAAAGTACAACTGCTCACTCACCAGTTCTCTTTTTCAACAGTCATTTTAGTTCTCGAAAGACTCACTGGGATTTACGCTTTATATTAAAATCGGTTTGATAATGTAAATGTCCGTGAGGTAAATGGAAATGCTGTTCCATATATTTCCTCACTAAATCTCTGGCAAGTTAGTGTAATCGAAATGAACTTTTTCATCTACGTCTGAAATTAGTTATTTTTATGCATAGGATTCAATCCCGAATGCTCATTGGCTATTCAAAAGTAAAATCGATGAAGGCCAGTCACGTGTAACATGACAGACACATTCGAGTTGTAAAGTTTACATATACGAAAATAACCGAACTTTGGACTATTCTTGATATTGTTTTAATAATCTCTGTTTTGAAAAACTGCATTACTTGAGATCAGGTCAGCAATTGAAATACAATTGAATGAATATTTAAGATAAAATTTCAAAACTGCAAAAGTAGTGAATCACTACCTCAATTGCTTTATCAAGGACATCCTAAGGAGTTGCAGCTTTCTGCTCCTCCCACCCCCACGCTCTTCAAAAAGGACGTAAAAAAAGAGAGATCATATTATTGCAGTTATGTTTGCTCTCATATCTTTAACAGCCTACAAATCCCATCTCTAAGTGTCCTACCAACTGGTGTAATACTCCTTAGGCTAAGCATTTATACAACATTTGTAAATTTCAAGCAATTTTCTGTGAAATCATTTGTCACGGAACTGTTATATCAAAATGAAAGATATGAATGACTTTTGCATTGGTATAAAACGATGGGATGTACATGTTTCGGATAGTAATGATTTAGACATACTTAATAATATAGAAGGTACCTATGAAGACCACGTAAAAGAATGTACAGATGTAGTCATTTATAACGATAAATTATTAGGATGTCCTACCTCGGGTGTATATGGAGAAAATTGTACTTTACCCTGTCCACGGAATTGTCAGGAGGGATTTTGTAACATTGTTGATGGGACCTGTCTTGGATGTGTTGTCGGATACAAAGGGTCAAAATGTGAAAAAGGTACTTAGAGAGAGAGAGAGAGAGAGAGAGAGAGATTTTCCTAGACTTTCCTTGATGTCCTTTGACGAAACATAAATGTTCACTGGTACCTTTAGTGGCATTTTATTGAATCATATTCGAATATGATTTTAGTTCCCAGGATGTGTAAAAAAGACAACGTATGATTAAATTTGATGGTTAAAATTAATTGAATTATACCAATTAATGTATACTTGAAAAATAAAAACTTCAATTTCATGACTACTACATAGGTTTAAATAAGTTTAGATTCCTCAAGTATCATTTATAAGGGAATCAATAAATGTTCAATGTGCAATAATAGAAATCAATCTATATATTTTCTTTTTTTTCAGAATGTGATAATAATAGTTACGGCCTTGAGTGTAACATGACCTGTGGAAACTGTAGCAACGGAGAACAATGTTATCACGTGAACGGAAGTTGCCCAAACGGATGTGACGTTGGTGCTCATGGAATTACGTGTGAAGAACGTAAGCTATTTTTTAATCAATTGTAAGAACTTTTTGACGGTAATTTCTAGATAAACAGTTCAATCCATCCTTATGTGTCTCTTAATTTCTCAGAAATTTCTTGATGTGTCATACAGATATGAAAACATAAAAAGACTATAGTACTAGAAACATCTTGGTTTAAAGTTCATGGTTAGATTACTTTGATTTACGCTTCCGACACAATATTGTAATCATCTGTTTACCTTTTTGTTATAGCCTGTCCTGTTGGTAAACACGGAGAAAATTGTTATGAAGAATGCTCTCCAAACTGTAAAGGCTGCAACAGATTCACCGGTGTCTGTGAATTTGGATGTTACTATGGATGGAAGGGAACGTTCTGTGAAAGTGGTATATTTTGTTCATATCGCTTTTTTGCGTTTAAATCAACTGATTGACGTTGAAAGCACACCCTTTGTCATCTTCACTCACAATAACTTGGTTTTGTTATCTTTGATTTTTATTTTTTCTCAGCTCTGGAAAATTAAAGCTCCGCCTTTATGTAGTGAATTGTTATGTCTCTCTCGAATTTAAATTCAAATAATTTAAAATGCTTACGTTTTTATTTGAATTCATAAACTTGTAAATATTCATTGCAGTTCATCGCTATTGTGATATAGCTTCACTATAAATCAAAATTCTTCCTTCAATTTTTTTTTTTAAATTATTCTGTGAACATGGATATTGATTTGCTATTTATATTTATTTGTAAAAGATGAATGAATGAATAAATGTTGGTTGTTGTAGAATGTGATGGGCTGATGTATGGCCAGAACTGCAGTCAGTCATGTGGTTCGTGTTTGAATTCAGAACAATGTCACCACATTAATGGTACATGTTTAAAAGGATGTGACAGAGGATTTCTAGGAGAGAAGTGCACAGATGGTAGGGAAGTTTTGAGGAGATGCATACCCTATACCAAATTATCCATTTATTATTATCATCAAAGCCGTCAAGGTATATGAGTCGGTAGAGCGCTCGCTGCTTGAGCTGAAAGTCGTGGGTTCAAACCCCGGCCGCGACTGACCCAAGTCGATATAAAAAAGGTAACAACTGTTCCTTTGCCAAGTGCTTGCTACTTTGAGGCCCTGTGTCACGACAGGCGTTGGCACGATAAAAACCCCCTAATTACTCAATGGCCCTGAGTACCGAGTAATATCTTAGAATATTATGTGAGAAAGTTTATTTTACTTTTATGACTGAGCCAATTTAGCTCATTCATGGACTTAGCTCCCTTAGGCCTGTTACATTTAAGCGGAGTAACTCAAAATAGAAAGAGATAGCAAGTAACCTCCCTTTGACCTTTTTCTCTTGTTTTACCTAGGTCAAACATGCAGGCATACATACTGATATTACTTAAACCATAAAGAGTTCTCACTGCCTTGGTAGTAAGTTATTCCTTTATACAATGTAGGGCATCTGTCTTATTGAGGCCTGTCACAAAAGGTACACGCTATTCGTGATTTTAATCAAACTTTTTTATTTCTTTTTTTTTTTAAATTTGATTTGTCAACTCGAATTGTCTAGGCTCAATACTTTGTAATATATGTTACGCGGTCTCGGATTAGAAATAGTTTTCATCATTAAATATTAATTAATCGTTTGTCCTAAAATGCCAATGGCGACTTCTGAAACAGATGTTGGGTATGGGATGTTTATCTAGACCCTATAGCCTAACGTTAACGTTTGTATGCTGTTGATGCAGACTATTCGACACACACAATTTATGTTTTGTAAGGTGGCGAAACAACCATTATATATACATCCTGGTAGATGTATCTGATGTAATCTGTTAAATTTTATGTTATTCCGACTCGGCTACTTAGGAGAAAATAAAGATGTAGCCTACATATTTCTCGGGTGATCTCCCTTTGATTATATGTGACGAGAAGCCGGGAGCTTGAAAAACAATTCAAAGCATAAATAAATAGGCTGTCAGGGGAAAAGAGTACACATTTTTATTTTTTTAACATTTCAGCATGATGATGAGTTAAATATAGATAAGCTACTTGATGGAAAAGTCTTGGGTCAGGACTGAGGCACGTAGTAAACAAAAAGTCGACATTATTGCATCTGCATGCGGTCATGCTTAGCGAGAGTTTTTCGTAATCTTTTTCCACCACAACAAAAAAGAGCGTATAATAAATAGAACATTTGCATTTCGAAACTTTTTAATATTGGAAAAAGCAATATAGATTCTTTTTTACTTTTCAATTAATGTAGGGTAAACCCCCATTATTTCCACTATGGTGGTCGGTGCGGAGAGATTTGAATCCAACAAAAAGTATAAATCTCGATGTGGCCACACCCCTCGAACAAAATGAAAATATGCTTTATCTGTTCATATTTTCTTTTCTTTTTAATGGTATAAATTTTATTTTGTTCGAAGGATGTGGTCACACCAAAAATTTGAATCAAGGACAAAAAAGCTTTATTTTGATAAATAGCAGCAAAACGCACGTGTTTAGACGTTTCCTGTACAAATATTACGTCATCTGATAAAAAAATGGCATAAACTATATAAGATTGATACTTTTAAGGATAATACAGTCAAACCTCGATTGGACAGAGAAAAAACTTCGAGATATCGGAGGGTTCGAGATATCGAGGATACTCTACTTGAAAAATGTGTGGTTAGGACTTCCCAATCACTTCGACATATCCATGGTATTCGAGATATCCGTGTTCGAGATCCCGAAGTTCAACTGTATTTCTACTGTTAATTTTTTTTTCCTCCATTTAATATTTCTGAAAAAAAAATGGGCCGATTTAGCCTCTTAGTCTCTTAGTGGATCTAGGCCTTTCAATCACAACAAACCCCCTACCTTTCATCTTTCACTTCTGTCAAAATTATACATTTCTTCTTGTACTTGAAAACGCTACTTTTTGTCAATATTAATTAATATTTTACAACAGCTTGTGTACAAGTTAAGTTGATAAATCAAGTCCAAATGAAGAAGACATTCAGAAATAATTATGAAGAGTTGTTACTAATTTTTATTTTTCGATTGTGTTCCATTTTAGAATGTCCTGAAGGACATTATGGCTACAACTGTCAAGATACATGTAACATCAACTGTGGGGTTCCTGGTAGATGTGACAGAGTGACAGGACAATGTCAAGGAGGATGTCAGGAGGGGTGGAACGACCTTAAATGTGACAAGGGTAAGTATTCGGTATATACAAAAAATGTAATAAATAAAAAAATTGATGTCATTTTCCAGAAAGACAAATGAATAAGAAAATATTTTGTTTTCTTAAGGTCAATAATGCATTCTCAGCAAGTTGATTAATTTACAGCGACAAAATACTGAGAGCATTAAGAGGAAAGATTGTTTACATTTTTGTGATTTAATAAAATAGACAAATCTAATATGTGATTATTGATTTTGTCCTATTATCGTGAATTCGTAATGCGTGACCTTTCCTGTAGATGATTACGTATAAAAGTTGAGTCAAGTTGGTCCTCAATTTCATTGTTTCTAAAAACAAAATGTAATAAAAGAAATTTTTATAGAAAATTTGCATGTTATCAATCTCGTATGTTTTTATAGAATGTGATCGGGGCAGATTTGGACTAAACTGTGCTCAGTCATGTGGAATTTGCGTTAGAAAAGAACATTGTCATAACATAAACGGGACATGCTTGAATGGCTGCGATAAAGGTTACCATGGAATCCAATGTACACAGGGTGACGGATTCAAGGTTCTGTGCAGCAGTGGAACCTATTAATTGTTATGCATTTCAAGCTATTTCCTTATGCTAATATTAGATCACTTAAAATTGGTTTAATCAGAACCTTATTTTGTTTTCTATTTAAATCTCATGCAAAACTGTGCTCAAATGTGTGTATCTGATAACATTTGATACTTAAAATTCATAAAATTTCAACACAATTTACGTAGGCGAGAAACTCGAAGGAAAAAATGATAAAGTTCCATTTTTAAACTTAATGAACCAATTCAACATAAATCGAACTCTGTCTATAGAAAATCCTATATCGAAGAAGTATTCTATTATCTCAACAAAGCACTAACTTTAATTCACTAGTCGTAACCATCTTGCTGCAATACTGATAGTCTTATTTAAGTGTCTTGCTCGAACGATAACTCAAATAGATGCCGATAAAATATAACGTATTGCATTTGTCATAGAGTTTGTTTTAGGGTTGCATTTAGAATAGTAGCCCCGCGAAAATGAGAGTCAGCCTTGGTTAACAATGGTTTTTAAGAGATACAAATTTAGGTTACCTTAAAAATATTGCTTTTCAGTTTCACTGGACACATTTGGAATGCATTTAAAAGAAATGTCAAATCTGTCTGTCCAGTAATTTTTTTTTGTGTGTTGTTACACTTCGTCATTCATTTTCAACCATGAACCATGAACTGCTATCAATTCTATTTAACATAATAGTATTAGAATTTAAAAAAAAAGATCTTGCTTGCCTTTTTGCCAACAAAAAATATTAAAAGCGATATATGATATACATGTACATGCAATTCTACTTTTTTTCTTTTTTTTTCTTTCTCTTTTTGATTAATTGTGCAATCATTTTTTTTTTTGGCAGAATGTCCGAACGGACGTTATGGATACAACTGCCAGGAAACCTGTACCAATTGTACCGTTACCAAGAGATGTGACGCTATATCAGGGCAATGTAGTGGTAAAACACTTCCCATTACTGACATAAATCTAATATACAGAGACTGAGTTAACTTCTTCAATTGAGAAAAAAAAAATGTCTAACACTGACCCTTTCTATTGAGAAAAAATAACGAAAAATATATAAACAAAACAACAACAAACCAAAAATGTCTAAACGTCAAACGAATAGACTGGAAAAAATAGGTATAGCCTCTTAAAAATACAAAATTCGTCATTTTTAATCAATAAGAGAGCATTTTTAATGGATACTCATAATTTTATTTCATATTTAGATGTAAATACATGTATAAGGAATCACTGTTTAGTTTGCTGGGAATGCCTTGGATATCATCGACAGTTGGAAATGTGGGATATATATGCATAACGGGCTTCGCACGTTATATGCAAATTATCCCAGGTTTCCAACTATTATTGATACCCTGCCATACCCAGCAAGCTTGACAGTGATTCCTTAATTAACCAAAAGTACATTAAAAGTACCTTGAATATTCTTTCCTACTACTAAATTCACCGATTCTTAGCTCACCTGAGCTGAAAGCTCAAGTGAACTTTTCTGATCACCAGTTGTCCGTCCGTCCGTCCGTCCGTCTGTCTGTCTGTCCGTCCGTCCGCCTGTAAACTTGTCACATTTTCAACTTCTTCTCAAGAACCACTGGGCCAATTTTAACCAAACTTGGTACAAAGTATCCTTGGGTGAAGGGGAGTTTAAATTGTTAAATTAAAGGGCCAAGTCTCCTTACAAGGGGAGATAATCAAGAAAAGACAAAAATAGGGTGGGGTCATTAAAAAATCTTCTTCTCAAGAACCACTGGGCAAAAAAAGCTGAAACTTATGTGGAAGCATCCTGGGGTAGTAAAGATTGTAAATTGTTCAAATCATGACCCCCGGGGTAGGGTGGGGCCACAATAGGGAATCCAAATTTTACATTGAAATATATAGGAAAAATCTTTAAAAATCTTCTTCTCAAGAACCACAAGGCAAGAAAAGATGAAACTTATGTGGAAGCATTCTGGGATAGTGTAGATTGTAAATTGCTCAAATCATGACCCCCGGGGGTAGGGCGGGGCCACAATAGGGAATCCAAGTTTTACATTAAAATATATAAGAAAAATCTTTAAAAATCTTCTTCTCAAGAACAACTGGGCCAGAAAAACTGAAACTTATGTGGAAGCATCCTGGAGTAGTGTAGATACTAAATTGTTAAAATCATGACCCCCGGGGGTAGGGTGGGGCCACAATAGGGAATCCAAATTTTACATTGAAATATATAGGAAAAATCTTTAAAAATCTTCTTCTCAAGAACCACAAGGCAAGAAAAGATGAAACTTATGTGGAAGCATTCTGGTATAGTGTAGATTGTAAATTGTTCAAATCATGACCCCCGGGGGTAGGGCGGGGCCACAATAGGGAATCCAAGTTTTACATTAAAATATATAAGAAAAATCTTTAAAAATCTTCTTCTCAAGAACCACAAGGCAAGAAAAGCTGAAACTTATGTGGAAGCATTCTGGTATAGTGTAGATTGTAAATTGTTCAAATCATGGCCCCCGGGGGTAGGGTGGGGCCACAATAGGGAATCCAAATTTTACATTGAAATATATAGGAAAAATCTTTAAAAATCTTCTTCTCAAGAACCACAAGGCAAGAAAAGCTGAAACTTATGTGGAAGCATCCTGGGGTAGTGAAGATTCTAAATTGTAAAATTTCATGGCCCCCGGGGGTAGGGTGGGGCCACAATAGGGAATCCAAATTTTACATTGAAATATATAAGAAAAATCTTTAAAAATCTTCTTCTCAAGAACCACAAGGCAAGAAAAGATGAAACTTATGTGGAAGCATTCTGGTATAGTGTAGATTGTAAATTGTTCAAATCATGACCCCCGGGGGTAGGGCGGGGCCACAATAGGGAATCCAAGTTTTACATTAAAATATATAAGAAAAATCTTTAAAAATCTTCTACTCAAGAACCACTGGGCAAGAAAAGCTGAAACTTATGTGGAAGCATTCTTGGATAGTGTAGATGCTAAATTGTAAAAATCATGACCCCCGGTGGTAGGGCAGGGCCACAACAAGTATTACAAGGGGGGAAATCTGGTAAAGAACAGCATGGCCAAAGTTACTCAGGTGAGCGATGTGGCCCATGGGCCTCTTGTTAATATTGAAATAAGGAGGTTCAATTATGTACATAATAAATCATATACCTGAAAATAGTTAATGAAATGTTTACATGAACAAAATAATAATCCAGCATGTACATTAAAAACGAAAAGTGAGATGTAAAAATTTTTACTGGAATTTATTTCATACATTATACATTTAATCAATGTTTTGGTTAATGTTAATAAAATGTTTTAAATGTAAACAATTTCTTTTTGAAAAGGAAGAAAATGTGATAACAAATAACAAATTTAGATTTTAGCTTTATTAAAAGTTGACAAACGTCTATGTTATTTTATTACAGTCGCAACAAGATCATTAGATTCTGATACAAACGAGCAGTTCTCAGCAATTCTGTATGGAATGCTATCTTCTCTTTGCTTTAGCTTTGGCTTAAACATCGTTTTAATTTTCTGGTGAGTTTGTATTATTAAAAGGGTTTTTTTTTTAATTTTAATTTCCAATCTAGTTAATGTGTTTAAAATCATTAAAGTATATATTTGCTCACTTCTTTTCGATATGACTTTTGTTATTTAAAAAAAGGAGTTGTAAGAAGAGGGTGTGCAAAGGAAAGAATCACCAAGAGAAAACTACTACACAGTTATCCACAAAACCTACTAAACTGGATACACAGATCGATAACGATGTTGAAGACAGTGTAATTTACGAAGACGTGGATCAAATTAGTCAACATTCCATCTATGATAATTAACATTAAAGTGATGTTGCAGAGTTTGAGTTTGTTCCTTAAATAATAATTATTTCAATATAATCATTTTATGTATACTTGTGTATATAAAAAAAAAAGAATTGAATGTCATTCAAATTTCAGAATTGTTAAAATATCAAGTACAGTGGGCCTTCAGATATTAGGAGGTCAGATATTCGGACAGGTAAGTTTCTGGACTTTTTTTTTTTTTAGAGAGAACAGATTTTAACGTTATTTTGTCTCTTTTATCCGGAAATCTGTGTTCCGTATAGAGAGAGTCTTTTTTCACCACAAAATGCAACGGAAAACCTTCTAGCTGGTTTTGATAGTTAAGATAAGTAATGGATATATGCCGAATACTGTTCTATATGTAAAATTATCAGACTGTTTGAGGCCCGTTAGGGCCGAAAACAGTCTGATAATTTTACATATAGAATTGTATGAGGCATATATCTTACTTAAAACATTGCTATTTAAATGTCCAAAAGTTACCTGGAGGAGTCCGATAATTACACAATAGGAGTTCAGGCATCAGTAGTTTTCTACCTGACACCGTCTAATAAGTAGACAAAAGAAAAGAGAATTTTTTTTTCTTTAGATAGTAAAATCAGTGAGTGAACTCTATTGTTTCATTCATTCAATGGCAGTCGTTTGGCTTAGGAGGAACTATGGACAGTGGTCAGGTGATGAAGGATTTTTTTATGATTCGGAATATTTTTTTATTAAGTGCGTTTGACATTGATACAGATACAGTGTTGGATGATATCTTCAAAATGCATTTAAAGTAAAAATGCGGATTTTTATCTAAAATTTTGATTGGATGATATAATGAAAATCATGGGTTTTAAAAGTGCGGTCATTGGCGAACAAACCTCGTTAAATGAAGAGATTCGCAGACTGGTTCTTTATCAGAAATGGATTTAAATTGGCTTATTCACAGTGCTGTATCGAAAACGCTTTGCAAAAAAAACGAATGGAAAGTGTTACTTTTGAGGAAGGTTAAAACTCCAGTTTCTTCTTGGATTTGCTATTTTTAACAACTTAATTTCCTCGCGTTCGCTTTCCCTGAATTTTTTCTCCCTAACTTTTTTTTTGGTTTCTGGACAAATTAAACCTTGATTTCACTCTAGTTGTTGTTTTTTAACTACTGTCCAATTTTGTTATCACTGCAGTCCGATAATATATTATTGGACTGCTAATTATTATTATCGGACGGCTACAGGTAAATTTTTAGACTGCAAGAACAAAGGCATGACGTCACAGCAATGTTTTAATTCTTATTACTCTTTTTTTCCCAGACAATAACTTTGAAGCTTCATATATCCCTTATTTTTTATTTTTTTTTCTCCATTTTTTACAGCTTATAGTCTTTACAAGACATGTTTAAATTACTTTAATTCAATTCTAAAATTCCCTTTCGCTCACGATTTATTCCCCTTTGATTGAAATTTTAGCTGGAGTAGGAATACAAATGAATTTGAAAAATAGAAGCATTGTAGTCGGTATTGTTTTCTTTTATTTCTGTGTTCAAATTAGCGCTAGAGATGGGTCAAAAATTAGAACGTCCAAAAGAGTGAAAATTAGATATACATATATTTTCCTTTGTATTTTCTTAACTAGAAATGTTTTGTTAAGGCATGTAGAATAAAAGTTGCGCATAATTTTAAGAGCTTATATTTAACATCACTTAAAAGGGGCTAGCCCCTAAAATAAGGGGTCAGTGGCCCTTGAAAGTTTTCACTTTATAACTCAAAAAAGGTGAATATTTCGATATGGCTTTAGACTAAAAAGTCATTTTATCAATTTCATTAAAATTTAATTTTGGTACATTATTCCGTAATATGTTAGAAAAAAATGGTGTCCCGTAAACAGGTAACCGTTTTCATTCGGCAAGTAAACGAAAACTCGCTGTGCGTATATCTGAAATAAACTTGTTACATGTATATATAATGAACCTGATTTCAGAAAACGTTAACATTCTTCTAAAAAAGTCTTTTTTTCTGTTCTGTGGTTTTCTTAAAATTTTTGGTGATAACTAAAGAGAAAAAGAGATGGATAACTTTTCCTCATTTAATTCTTCGTTTAATAGTAAAATCAACAATTTACATAAAATTAAACACTTAAGCATACAA